GTACGGTTGGTAATCTACCGCAATACAAGACGGCTCGAACTATTGACGTTGCTTCCCGTTACCGGTCTGGATATTTTATATCTTGATCTTACGCTTATTAAACTTTTCTGGCGTTTCCCATAGTCGTCTCTTGTTACAACCCCCGGAACTTAACAGGCTAATGGATTCATTTACGTCGCCATTCCATGGCAAACAAATTATAGCTCCCTAGGTGTAAGTGAAGTTTGCAATGCAAGGACCCATTGGTTCATTTGTTTCTTATTTCTTTATTTTCTTCGTGCATTTAGGTTACTCGGTTTTCTTAAATTAAAATATTGAACGTAACGTCACCCTCGGTGTTTAAGTTATCAATGCACTTGTTCGGTTTTATGATGAAATTACTCTTTATAACTATAGAAATATCTATACAGTTTGAATTTAAAATGCAGTTTCGTTTTCAAAATATAATCAATAGTGTATTTTACACCATGTAAAATAAAATCAAAAAATATATATTTATGATAGATTTTGTAAAAAATAAAGGAGAAATATTGATTTCTGTTTATAAAATTGCATTAAAAATTTTATATTTCAATTTTAAGAATATTTTTTTCGTCTGTGCCTCAAATCTGCAAAACGTTGTCCGCCATATTAGAATTTGTCGTGACGTCACGGACCCAGCCTAAGAGTATTAGTGATCTATGTCACTGATTAAGAGAAGAGTAGAACAGAACGTACTGTGTTATTTCGAAAGTTTTCAAGTTATCATTTCGAGTTTTGTTCCAAATTTTAATGAAAAGTCATCGTGGGAGACGAATTCGTAAAAGTAGAAAGTGCTATTACCAGGATAAATAAATTGACGGTGGCAAAATTTTTTGCATGCAATCCCAATTTCTGTTCTGCCGAGTTAAGGAACGTTAAAACATCAGTGTAAGTAGTAAGTACCTATTACCAACTTTTGTTTATACAAAAACATAATACTAGGTCAGAGTGTATTTTGATAAAACATAGTTTAGTTTATTTATAATTACAATCATTAGCATCAAGTTATAATATCTAAGTTAACTTAATTTATTATAAAATTTGACTTGTGATAACCTTCACCTCATGATGTTTTGTTTTGTATTAAACGATCATTACATATAAGTCACACTTACATCAAAATGATTTTTACAGAAGAATAGTCTGGTTTTTGTAGACAATGTATACAGGTATCATATTGCCAGTTTTAACGAAGTATTTCTTATGTTTAAATACTTGGCACTTGAATCCATAACTTTCCCGGCGTTCTTATGCTCGTATTTTACATTCAGTTTTCAGGCACAACACAACAAATGATTTAAATGATACCTCATTGTTAAACATTAAAACGTATCTTATTTTTTTTGCAAAATCAGCAGAACCGAGGACAGTGTCATCACGAGTTGAACAGTACGGCGGCTAGCGTTTTTACGCGAAAATTTAAAACGATAGATTAGAAGTAATTTTATAGCACTTAATGATTTCTTAAATTTACGCGAATACTACACATTGAATAAAACTATTATTAGCGTATTTTATCGCCTTTAATTACAACTTTAATTTATTTTCATTATCCCGACGTTTCGGGTGCTTTACAGCACCCATGGTCACGGGGAGGGGGGACTGAGATGCTTGACGTCCCAATGTCATAGTTAGTCCGCTAGTCTTGCAGTGTTATGCTTGGGTTTGGGTTTAATTTTGTTAATTATAGGATCCCAAGCAGATGGCAGCACCCATCCATCTTCTTTATTGAAATTTGGATGTTTTTTAATTTCAATAGCCTCGCGTATCATCCTTGGTAGGAATCGGTGTTCTTTTGCAAGGATTTGTGGTTTATCAAATCTAATGTAATGGTGGGGACGACCTTGAACATGTTCGCAGACTGCAGACTTCCCGGAGGTGGTCTAAAAATAATTTCTTTAAAATACTATTTAGACCATCTTACTTGCTCTAAAATACAATTCACAATGGAGTTAGAGGCAAATAATTCTTTAGCCTTCCTAGATTTTTTAGTGATCCGAAATCCTGATAACACTATTGGTCACACTGTTTATAGAAAAAAGACCCATACCAACCGATATCTAAATGGTGAATCTCACCATCATCCTTCACAGTTAGCTACCGTGGGTAAATCTTTGTTTCAGAGAGCACGAGGAATCTGTGACGAAAAACATCTGGCCGCCGAGCTTCAGCACCTCAAGCAAGTATTGCAAGACAACAAGCTTCGGATCCCGCGCCTACGTCAAAGTCAACGAGTGAAGCTAGCCACAATCGAGCGCGCGCCTGCTGTACTACCGTGTGTCAGAGGAGTCACAGACAAGATTGGCGACATCTTGAAGCGAGCTTCCATTAAACCATACTACAAGCCGCCGAAGAAGATTAGTCAATTTTTACCATCCATCAAATGCAATATTCCTCTACAAGATGCAGGTGTGTACAAGCTAGATTGTGAATGTGGTCTCTCTTACATAGGTCAAACAAAAATATCTATAAAACTGGTCAAGAGCGTGTCGAGCCACGCTCAGTGTAGGGTTCCGTAGTTTCCCGTCCGTCACAATAAGTGTTCCCACTTATGAGTTTAAAGTTGGGTATCCATTATGTTCGCGCTCCAGCAGCGCTCCGCGCTCCTGCAACTGCTCCCGGTAGTGGGTACTGTTGTTTCGATCCAAGTTCAAATTTATTTTCCTAGAAAGTCCTTATAAAGTTCTACTTTTCAGATTTTTTTCATATTTTCTAAGCTTATGGTTCAAAAGTTAGAGGGGGGGGGACACATTGTTTTTTACTTTTGGAGCGATTATTTCCGAAATTATTGACATTATCAAAAAATTAGTTTAGTAAACCCCTATTCATTTTTAAATACCTTTCCAACAATATATCACACGTTAGGGTTGAAATAAAAAAAATCATTCCCCATATAGGGGGGCTACCCTAATAAAACATTTTTTTCCAATTTTTATTATACCACTTTGTCGGCGTGATTGATACACATATTGGTACCAAATTTCAGCTTTCTAGTGCTAACGAGGTCACAGAGATTAAGCGAGGACGGACAGACGGACAGACAGACATGGCGAAACTATAAGGGTTCCTAGTTGACTACGGAACCCTAAAAACCCGCGTGAAGGAACGTATAGCTGACGTGAAGCACCGACGCTCCGGCAAGTCTGCAGTCTGTGAACATGTTCAAGATCGTCCTCACCATTACATTAGATTTGATAAACCACAAATCCTCGCAAAAGAACACCGATTACTACCAAGAATGATACGCGAGGCTATTGAAATTAAAAAAACATCCAAATTTCCATAGAGAAGATGGATGGGTGTTGCCATCTGCTTGGGATCCTATAATTAAAACAAGAAGGTAGCCGGACTAATTGACATTGGGAAATCAAACATCTCAGTCCCCCCCGTGACCATGGGTGCTGTAAAGCACCCGAAACGTCGGGATAATAAAAATAAATTAAAGTTGTAATTAAACGCGATAAAATCCGTAAATAAGTTTTATTCAATTTCATGGCACTATTCGGTTTCAAAAAAATTATATAAAAATTGTAGTGGTTCATTATCACTCTAGGATTAATTTAAAAAAATTGAAAATGAATTTTTTTTTTAGAAAGAAGTCACAGGCACAGCTACTATAAAATTTCTCTTGGATTAAATAAAAAGTATCAGACTGGACTTAATTAGTATTTATCTTAATAGCTACGGAACAACTTTACCAGTATTTTACTGCTCTTAATGTCTGAAAATAAGTGCCTTAGTAGCATTTAACACGTTTCTTTTTTAAGTTGGTAACCTTTCCGTGTTATTATAAAACATTTTAATTAAAAAAAAACTTTATAACCATTTTAATAGTTTAAGGGTGACAAACGAGAGCTAAGTCCACATGATAGTAAGTAGATACTGTGGCTCATACATCTATCTTCGATTAGGATTCAAAATGCATATGCATTTTAATAGTGATATCATGTACGGGAACTACGATAGAATGTTTCGTCTCCTTTAAAAGGGTATTTGGAATTTCTCGTTTAAAGACACTTCTTTGCGAAAAAAATTTAAATAATTTTACGTATTTTATATATAAATTAATATTTTAAAGAAATTATTTTAGCTCACATAGACGGGAATAAGGATTAAATAAACACTTCCAAATTTAAATCGTTTTCATTTATTTTTCTCCATTTATAAAGTTTTACAACATTTTATGAAAAAAGAACAAGTTATTTATATTTCTTAATAAAGTTTTTAATTTAATTAGCTGGCAAAGCTGTTTTCGAAAGGCCTAATATCAAATATTGGAGAACTTAAAAATACACACACTGATGCGTTTTATACTAACAATATTTTCCTTTGTAATATAATATTAAATGTAAATATCACAGGATACTCGTTCTTACTGAAATAATAACATTACTGAGTACTGAGTATTTATTTTATAGAAACTCAGCGAGAATATTCTTAAAGAAAAAAATACTTATTTTCCCCCCAGAGTAGTAATATTTTTTTCATTTTTTTTTTAAATTTGGCCTTCCAAAAACTAATGTTTTACATTAATTCATAATAGAAATTTAAAAAAATATTAGACTTGTCTTTTTATATAGATTAGGGGTGACAAACAAGCACACAATCCACCTGATAGTAAGTGGATGCTGTGGCCCATAGACATCTACATTTATCCTCGATTCAGAATCAAAATACAGGTGCGTTGTCACCCCTGAGGACTATGATGAAGTGCCTCATTTCCAGTAAAAGGGGTCTCCGTATGTATAACATTCCTTAATTGCCTTTTATATTCAAGTATACGCCATTTCAATACGTTTATTATTTAAAATACATTCCCGTAATAATACAATATGTAAAAGCACCCTGTCCCATATGAAAGAAATAGTACACAGATACCGCTATCACATAACTCGGAATCGAATGGAAAACCATCCTCATGGATCCGCCAAGGTGTTTTTTACATATTGTATATTGAACGAAAAACTCAAATCGGGTTTCTACAGTTCTGTCTTGATGTTGCAGATTTTGTAAAACTCCTTCTCTGGTAGAAGGTACTCCTTGGTGAGATCGGCGAAATGTTTGTAATTACAGTAATTGTCGTTTTCGCAGCCTGTGAAGTGCAGGTACTGGGCGTCCGACTCACCAGCTTTTGGCAGATACACCGGCTGGAACAAAAATAATTTGTCAACACTCATCAACTACATTGTTTTAGAAGCTTATTGACGTTGTCGTAGGTTCGTTCAACTGACAACGAATGGGGAAGAAAGCTTACCGAGTGGCAGACGAGAGAAGAAAGAAGCGTGAGGTGGCCCCCACTAGGAATAGTGACGACTTGGTAAGACGTGCGGGAAGACTATGGATGCAAGTCAGGTTTAGCAGTAGACTTGTTCAGGTTTATAGAGGAATCAGATGATGTAGATCAATACAAAAAATTAAGAGTTTGTATTCCATTTTATTTTTATTTAAGATAAATTATTTTTCTTGGCTTTCGTTTGTCGTTTTCTTTCTCTGTGCGTTATGGCGGGTAAATAAAAATATACTTGAATAATCGACACATATAAAATAAATAGATATACAGATGATATATCGAAAGGCATTTTCTTATTTTGTTTGTATAACAAATTAATAGTAAAAAAAAAACATTTTTACAACAAACTTTTATTTGCATACGTCTGGAAAAAAGAATATAAATTTTAAATAAAATCAAACCTTTCAATTTATTACATTACGCAATGATAAAAAATCTTGTCGCTTTTTAGAGCATTTATCTTAAATTAAAAAAATGTTTCTACTATTAATTTATTTTTTATTTTTAGTTACCGCTGGACATGTTTCTAAATTCGTTCTTTTCATTTAATGCGTCACTGTTGGTTTTTGTTCGCCATCTTAGATCCGCCAACTTGCTTTTATTAAGTTGAAGTTGAAGACCCTTATTGGTCTATACAACATTTGTTCGAACACAACCAAACTATATCTAACCTTTGTCGAGTTATAAGGTTGTACTGCATGTATCTGGCTGGTTTTAGTATCAATACATATAGGAAATTAAGAAAAATTAAAATTAAAAATCACCATCCCAACTTTTTTCAATTGTTTTTCTCTCTTTTTTTTCTCTCCTCTAAAGTGAGTGCATCTAACGTTTCTACTCTAAAGTTTTACGTAGTGAAAGACCTAACGTAGTGTCAGTAAAAGTAGCACAAAGTTGGTTCAAGCGTTTTCAGTCCGGGAATTTTGACGTCAAAGATGCAGCTCGCTTTGGTCGCCCTCATATGGATAAAGTCGATGCCATTTTAGAGAAAATAGTGCAAGATCGGCATATTAATACTTACGACATATACGAGGAATTTAATATTGACCACAAAATAGTTTTAGCCCATTTGAAAAACACTAGTATTCTGGCTATACAAAAAAGGTCGATATTTGGCTCACTGAAAGAAACCTAACGAAACGTGTACTCATTTGCGATTCACTATTGATACGTAATGAAACCAAACCATTTTAGAAAAGATTGATCACTAGTGAAGAGAAGTGGATCACCTACGATAAGAAAGTGCAAAAAGATCATGGTCAAAGGGAAGTATAGCTCCACAGACTATAGCGAAACCCCGATTAACACGCAATAAGGTGATGCTGTGTGTTTGGTGGGATTGGAAGGACATCGTTTAGCAAGCCTTTACCACCGGGTAAAACCATCCATTCGGATCGATACTGCCAACAACTAATGAGACTCAAGCAAGAAATTGAGAAATCGAGAAACTGCGAAAACAAATTTCGTAGTCTTTGCCTACTTCAGTGTATTTATTTAACAGAATAATAACAAGCATGTGGCTCACATCAGGTGAGCCTGATGCTTGTTATTATTCTGTAAGTAATCGGTGCCGTCCATGAATATATTATAAATCTCAGAAACAGCGGATGCGTGCTGGCCTTTGATAAAACCCTTTAGATGGCAGACAGTACCGCTACACCTGCAGCCAACTTCAAATATTGGTTACGAAACTACTTTAGAAGACTCCTCATCATCATTATCATCATCATTACAGCCCTTCACAAGTCCACTGCTGAAAATAGGCCTCCCTCAAGGTATGCCACAAAGCACGGTCCTGAGCCACCTGCATCCATCGACTTCCTGCATGTCTTACCAGGTCATCACTGCATCTAGTGGGGGGTCGCCCTACACTTCGCCTACCGGTACGAGGCTGCCACTCGATAACCTTTTTTTCTCAACGGTTGTCGGTTCTTCGAGCTATATGGCCGGCCCATTGCCACTTCATCTTACTAACCCGTTGGGCTATGTCAGTCACTCTAGTTCTACTGCGGATATCCTCATATCTATGTTTATCGCGCAGAGAAACTCCGAACATAGCCCTCTCCAGACAGAGAAGACTACTGTGAGGACTAAAATGGCCCAATGACATGTAAATATTTCTGATCTTAAAACCTTCTACACCGGTACACAGTAGCGCAAGCACTGCTATTTGGTGACAGAAATATCTGTGATTGTGTTTCCTATACAGACCGACTCCAAGTCAAAAAAGAGCATTAACACCTAATAAATTTATGTTAAATACAGTGTTAACTTACCAAAACAGTGAATTCTTCATTGCTCTTGGATTTGTACAGCTCAATAGCAAATAGAGATCCATACTCGGGGACGATTTGCTCTCTCTTCACGACCTTCGTAACGTCCATCAGGGCACCGATGTTGAAGTCGTGGGCCGAGAATAATCGGAACCTCTTCGTGACGGTCTTGCCAGCTATTATATCGTTTGCAGCTGAGATGAAATCGTTCAACATAACGCCTGTGAAAATGTTAATTTAAATTTTAAATTTGATCAACGTACGAAACAAGGCATGACTTCTTAGACGAGGCTATTTTGAAGACCTACTGCTATGGTGATCGCTTGGATTAACTTACAAAACAAGAGTTAATTTCATAGATTTGCCTTTAGTGATGGATTGATGGAATAACGGTGCGTTTTAAAATAAGTCTAAACTCTTTAAATGATTGAATACGTACTAATAATATTTTTATTATTAATTTCTGTAGTTTTAGATTGTCCTGTAGTCGTCACTACTATCATAAAGTGTTGTATATTATTATAAGTGATATATATTGGAACGAAGTTCCTTATCGCGCGTTGCGAAAGGGGGCTAGACGGAAAAAATTAAGACCAAAAGTTGTAACGACACTTTTTGCTATATGTAGTTGTAAACCGTGCGGCTTGCGCGTGTTTCTCTCTCTCTCTCTCTCTCTCTCATAGAAAGCAAGCCAGTTATTTTCGTTTTGTCTTTCTATTTCGCATGAACAGTGTGGTGTCGCGACGATTATTTTTGTTGAGGTTTTTTTGTACATAATAAATAATAAAAATAATGACAATAATGAATCCTGACAGTGTTTCAACACAAGTTCCGGATATTGCTGATGGAGTTAGGTAAGTAGAGATTTTATACAGAAAATAATAAATGCTTATGTATTTTTAGCAAGTACGCATTATAACCTCTCTTTACTATTGTGGTAACCAAGTGTATGCGTCATAACTTTAATAAATTTAAAAGCAAATTATATTTTAATATTACAATATCAATGCGTATGTATTTAGCAAGCCCTGCGTGTTCTAACCTACGCTGTTGTGTTTATGAAGTCGAGAGAATATGTATATATATTTTATGGGTGTGTGTGTGTGTGTATGTGTATGTGTATGTATAAAGGAACTTCGTTTCATCCGGATGTCCCTTGACATCTCTCAAGTTTTTTATTATATAATAATAAAAAGGGAAATGTAAAAGAAGATGAGCTGTTGCATTCCTGATAACAAATCAAAATGAAAAGAGTAAAAAACTGCTGTTGTCAAACAGCCTGCCAAGTGCTCACTAGACCAATTATGGTCTGTCTGCCCGGATAAATCTTCAGAATGGCAGAAGCGGTGGTAATGAAACTTTAAGAACAATTTAAGAGAAATGTCGGAAGTAGAGCTAGAATATACTCTTTTTTGACAAATACTAATAATAATACTTTAATAGACCCTACCCAGAAATAGCTGAGATGAGTCATTGGAGGTCACTCATAATATAACATTTTATAAAATTAATTATGAAAACTTTTAGAAAAGGCATGGCATATAACCATTTGTTAATCCATTATATACTCTTTAGTAGTATGATATAAAATAATTACCTCCACCAATTCTTTTCATTTCATCAGTCTTATAATACAACCTATACGCTAATCTCGATGCTTCACTAAGTCGTGGTAGAAGAGGCTTAGCCCATTGTGGTACACCCAAGCCGAGGGCGATCTGAAAAATCAATTACAATGTTAAGAAATCAAATTATTTTCATTGGTCAGGTTGTCACTCCAACCAGAGGAGGGCTGCCATACACAGGATTACAGCAAACAATTCTTTAGCTTTTCTAGTAATTCGGAATCCCGATAAAACCTTGAGCCACACTGTGTATGGAAAAAAGACCCTAGATATTTAAACGGTAATCCTCACCAACATACTTCACAGTTAGCTACCGTGGGAAAATCTTTGTTTCAGAGAGCACGAGGGATCTATGACAGTAAATACTTGGCCGTCGAGCTCCAATACGTCAAGCAAGTTTTGCACGACACTAAGCTTCGAGTGCCGCGCCTACGACACAGTGAACGAGTGAAACCGTTCACAATCGAGTGTGTGCCTGCTGTACAGCAATATGTCAGAGGTATCACTGACAAGAATACATCTTCAAACGTCCTTACATAAAAACATACTGCAAGCCGCCAAATTAGTATGTACGATCTACGCAGAATAAACAATTAAAAAGCTGAAGGCACTCCGGGTTAACAGTGACAACGGGACGCTAGTCACCCCAGTCTTCCGTGACCATGGGTGCTAGAAAGCACCCGAAACGTCGGGAATTAAAAAAGGAATAAATTAAACGGGATAAAACTCGTAAAAGTAGTTTTAATCAATGTGTAGTATCCGCGTAAATATAGGAAATCATTACCCAACCCAAGCATACAATTGCAAGAATTCTAGATACTATGCTGCGTAGGTCGGAACAAAAATTATTAATTTATTCTGGAGGTAGCAGTGGTTAACTACGACGTCAAACACCTCAGTCCACCCCATGATCATCGGTGCTGTAAAGTGCTTGAAACGTCGAGAGTATAAATGTGTTAATATACGCGATAAAACCTGAAAAAACTAGTTTTATTTAAATGTGCAATGTTCGCGTAAATATAAGGAATCATTAAATCCTACCTATATACTTATCTGGTCTGGCAGTATTACTTGCAGTTTGTCTTTTTTCCGAAATTATAATAAAACGTTCCTTACAAACATCAGGTAACAATTTCAGTGTTGCCGCCGGAAATCTAACTTTGATTGTTGATTGAAGTACTATTTAATTTTATGACAAACGCTGATAAAATATATATACGCCACGTTGTGAATTAGAGTTGATAACTCCTGAATCCAATGATTCAATAATAAATATTATCTGTCTTATTCCAAAGCGTAGTTCGAAGTCTTTACGATATTTGATATTTTCAGTACGATATTTGATATTTCATTTCATTTCATTTCATTCATTATGTTTTAACAGTAAGTTCGTGCGCTATGGTTGTCTCACCGCAAAATAAAACTATACACGTGATGCCGTTATGTCTGCGCCCTCTTTTCCCAAAAGAGGGTCGCTTCTGATACGGCATAAGAAGCTTAAACAGCCAGTTGCCAGTCACCAAAGGCGGTTTTTAGAGGGTATCGCTTAGGTTCCCCCGGTAGGCAGTGAGTCCCTCATAACCACGATAGACCGGCTATCGTGGTATGCGTAATGCATTTTCCGCCTCCATACGTAAAGAGTAGCCCTTTCCAATTGCTTCGGGCGCTAAAAAAAAGCCGTTATGTCCGCCTGTTTTACCAGAGGAACACGCTTCTTTCCTTCTTTCAAACAAATACTATTATGTATTACATACCTGACTTCTAAACAAATCGTTGATTGTCTGGAATAGTAGTGGGTTTTCAGTGAAGTTACGCCCTGTTTGTGTTTTCAGCGTAGGGATCAGGTCATTAAACACAGCGAACTCTTCATAAATCGATTCTTTTTTAGCTTTCTCCATTAATTCCTTAAACTTTTCGCAGTTGGAGTAATAGCGCAGCTGAAAATAGAATAATTCAACTACAGTGATTGTGAATAGAATTGAAGAGAATGATTTTTAATCAACGTAGATTATTACATAATACTTATTGAAAGTCGTTTTTGTTTAACACTGGTTCGTATAATACTTAGGTCCTGGGAAGAACCAGCAAGAATTCCAGCAGAACTTTTTTAAAACACATAACTGTACAACAATTTGCACAATTTTTTAAAAGAATTTTTATATAACCATGGTGGTGATTTCCAGATTCCCGAGGGTTATTTTCGTTCATGCATTCGTTTGATATTATAATAACCCTTTTTGTACAATTTTTCTTTAATAAAACATTTAAATTTGTTTAATGACAAATTTTGTACATTTTATGGGATTTAGATTATTGTTTATAGTGTTCAAAGTATTAACATCTTTATACTTATCAAAACTGATATTTCTTTTCCACGGACAGAGCTATTTTTCGAACCAGTCGTACATAACAAATATTGACTTTTAATAAGTATTCACGATACCGCACAGCCTACTAAATTCCACCGCTGAGTCTTTACCCATATAATGCCTCATAGTATGGATATTTGCCACAGTTGCCACACTTGCTAAGCGCAGTTACTTTTATTCAAATGTTATCATGAAAATGCTGCCGCCCATCTTCTGGTTCAGTTTCCCTCTGTCGCCTCAACGACACCAATTTTATACGTGGTAGAGCCATGCTGCAGTTATATTAGTAGTATAGTTGTAGCACGAATGGGTCGGCTCGACTGGGGAAGGACCATGCTCTCACAGAATACCAGCGTAAAATAGTAGCTTAATGCTGCTGTGTTTCGTATGGTGAGTGTAGAGAACTTTTTACTGGAAACGAAGCATTCCATCTTAGTCCTCATGGGTGACAACGCATCTGCATTTTGATTTGTATGGGGTAGTGGATATTTTACACCGTCACTACAGGCCAACTCAATGTTACACTGGTAAGTTAATCAAAATTAAAAAATATAAATTACTGTGTGGTAAGAGAATCTATCACCCCACTTTGTCCCGTGAGAGCCATGAGAGGCGACTATGGGATATATATGTTATTGGTATGTATATCAGAGACCTTATGGCTTGCAATATGTGGCAGTATTATCATATTGTCTATGCCAGAACGTAAAATACCCCGACCGGCGACGAGAAGAAGCGTCAAAGGTATGTCTGGTACAGTAATCATGTGTTCTCCCAACAGCAAGAGAGGTCTATGTTCAGCGTTGGACGTTCACGGGCTGACGAGGAAAAAGGAATGATAACTAAAAGAACAGAAGTAAGTCAATCAAAAGAAGAAGACAGAGTAAAAATAGCCCCTTCAATAAATCATTTTCAGTTACAGCTGCACACTTGTGGAACTCCTTGCCTTTATATATTCGACGTGCTCAGTACCTTATTTCCTTCAAAATATACTCTTTTCTCTACTTATTGCTTAGAACTCTAATATTTTCCATCATAATTCCCGTCCTCCATCGTATCCATCCTACAAATCCTCAACCGTCATCATCTTGTATGTATTTATAATTTTCAATTTTTTTATTTTAACTTCATTTTCAAATTTATGTATACCTTCCCTATTTGCAATTCGCAGCAAATAACAGTTCTTTGTGAAATAAGGATTGCCTGGAAGATCGCTTTTAGAGCGATAAGACCGCCTGTTGCACTTTATATATTATATACTTTATATATATATATATATATATATATATATATATATATATATATATATATATATATATATATATATATATATATATTATATATATATTTATTCATCATCATTACAGCCGTTTACAAGTCCACTGCTGAACATAGGCCTCCCCCAAGGTATGCCACAAAGCACGGTCCTGAGCCACCTGCATCCATCGACTTCCTGCATGTCTTACCAGGTCGTCACTCCATCTAGTGGGGGTCGCCCTACACTTCGTCTACCGGTACGAGGCTGCCACTCGAGAACCTTTTTTCCCCAACGGTTGTCGGTTCTTCGAGCTATATGGCCGACCCATTGCCACTTCAGCTTACTAATTCGTTGGGCTATGTCGGTCACTCTGGTTCTACTGCGGATATCCTCATTTCTAAGTTTATCACGCAGAGAAACTCCGAGCATACTCTCTCTCTCTCTCTCTCTCTAAAGAAGATATTTTCAACGTCTTAAATTTATATATATAGATGTTAAAATTATTGGTAAAGAGAGAAATAAGGTCTGCGAAACATAACCGCTCTTTGCGTTTTAGCGGTCACTGTCAACCATCGCAACGTCTACTATCCCATAAAATGTGTTGCATAAAGAATAGCATAAGATAGGATAGAATATGATAGAATAGACTAGAATAGAACGTAATATAATATAAAAACATATGGATTATCATTGTTTATATCATTTAAAAAAATAGAAAAAAAAATCAAATTAGTTATGGAAAAAACCTCTGTACTGGAAAGAACCAGCAAGGAACCCTGTAACTTTATATTTTATACTATTAAAGGGCAAAACACGTATCGTATTATAAATGGTGTTGTGTTTTTCCTAGTGTAGTATTGTTGAGGGAGCACACAGTTGAGGGAGAGCGGGAGGTTCTTCAAGAGGAGAGCGATTCAAACTAGATACGACACATCATTATTTTTACGCGAATCTCAGCTTATTAATTTTAACATATTTAATTGATAAGAAGTCAAAAAAGGTACGGAATGAATCCGACATTATTATAGTCCTTAAAATAAATAGCGAGACACTGAACGAAAGAAACCTAATTTAGTGACGTACTGAACGTCGTACTATGCTACCATGCTGTTCAAAATGTTTTCATATATAATTAATACAACATATTATAGCGTATGTTATGTTTAAAATAAGGTTCTGCTGGGTTTACTGCTGGTTCTTCCCATGACAGAGGTTTTTCTGAACTAATCGTAAAATAATAAATGACTTTCAATATTTTTATTATATTCTCGTGATCTACGAGTACATTGAATAAAAATTACTCTATTTTAAATTCAAGGTAACCTACTATGAACTCTGTCACAGCAGCAATAGTTAGTTGTATGACTAATCATTGACATACTTTATGAAGGCAATAAAGACCAGGTAATTAGTAATTATTATTACTGGTCGCATCTGAAGATTGTTTGTTTAGCAATAACGATTTATCCAACACTAAATAAACTTCATTCCTGACATAAACGTCAGGAATCCAATAATAATATAATTATGATTGTTAAGTTCAAGTTGAAATCTTATTTAACAAACAAGCCAAGTAAGATCTGAATGCTAACAACTAGTGACGCTGTATCTGCGTGGCATTCATCATTCAATTAGTGATAAGAGTAACTATTGTCTATTTAATGAACTTGAATAATGCGTAATAATTCAAATAGACGAATCTTTTTTATTTTCCTATATTGGTACACCTACGTCGATTTCTCACCACTCCATGGGTTGACTGACAGGTTGCACGATATTTGTTTGATATTTCTTTTTAAAATGAAATGTACTCTTTTATTGGAAAATAAACTCATAATTCCCCCATGTATTTACTAGCGAATACATAGACAAAATTTATTAAATTACATTCGAATGAAACTGCTTTTACCCTTAATGGACGTACCTAAAATTGTAAATTTTTAATAAATTTTAAGATCTTTTTGTATCGAGCCAAAATGTGTCAATCGTATTTTGGCCATGATAATTAACTGAAGAAATCCTTAACTTTCATAATGATTAAAAAAAGGTGAATTCGTAGTTTTTAAATATTATAGATTTTCTGCGCACCTATAAAGCATGAAAAATCTGCTTTTAGTGCTCATTTCACCTTAAAGCATTTAGTTCGCCCCTTGTATATTTATTTATTTATTTATGCTTTATTTGCACACCGAGTACAAAAAGGCGGACTTAATGCAACAAGGCATTCTCTGCCAGTCTACCTTCACGCTAAGCAGAGAAGATATTGTGGGTGCAAAGTGCAACTGAGGTAAAATATCTTTAAGTAGTCATATACATTGCATATTGCATTACATGTTATAAACATAATTATACGCATATATTATTATATAGATATACATACAAAATATATACATATATATGCTTAATGCTGCCCTAATATGCTATATATATAGTACATACATAATTAAATATAGCTGTTTCTGATGCAAATTCCCTGTGTTCTTTTGTTTTAAGGCATACCATAAATAATAAATAAACATTAGATATAAATCTTTCCAACAGACGTTGCTCATAATTGTAAACAATTCTAATGAATTAATGAAATATAAACATTGTTACTATAAGCAGATTGAATATTAAATTAAATAAAAAGCCAAAGAAAATATAATCTGAAGACTGTCTCAAGTTTATTAAACATTACACTATTACATCATTATGATTTCGTAAGACGATATTAGTATTAAGGAATAATGAAATAGTCAGTTGTTCATCTGGGACTTACAGGTATCATGATTCACATAAGTCATGTTAGCCCTTTTTTCTAATGTTATTTGGGATATAATGATTTCTTATATTTACGCGAACGCCACACATTGATTAATAGAAATAGAGATAGAAATAGAAACTTTTTTATTCAATGTAGATTATAAAAATACTTATTGAAAGTCACTTTTTTAATTTACCACTGGTTCGCAAAAAAACCTATGTTCTGGGAAGAATCAGCAAGAAACCCAGCGGGACTATTTTTTTTTAATAATAGCTTACAATCATGTTTACAATCAACAACACAAGACAAATTAGAAATAGCTTGGTAGCGATCACCCTTCCCAGGGTTTATTATCATCTATAAATTCCTTAATATTATAATAACCCTTTTTATAAAAACTTATTTTAATAACATTTTTAAACTTTGTGTATGACAAATTTTGTATATTTTCTGGGATTTTGTTGTAAAAGCGTATACATCGCCCCAAGAATGAATTACTGACTCGGTGGAGTCGAGTAACTGGTACTAGTAGCTTGTGTCTGTTCCTAGTATTTACAGAATGAA